GGAGACAAGCATTTGACTACAATTGGCAACTTTTAAAGGCTAAGGCAGCCCATACATGCATTTCTTTTTTCATTCAACCAGCAGATAAAACGAAAGAAAAATGCCTTGATTCCCCATTCGCACATTTGTTATGAATGATGGGGATTCCTCCCACTGTGCTATTGTATTCTGACAGCGGGGAGCCTTCGCTGCTGTAAGAATACCATGATCAGTGTTGCCAGCTATAGCCGAGAAAACCAAAGAGCCGATCAATAGATTCACTTGTGTGCAACCAGCCTGCCCATACATGAACTGAAATTTGGCTGATCCCTGTTGCCAGCCGAATTTCAGTCCATGTATGGCCAGATTAACCTCTTCCCAACCACCCTCTAGCAGAAGTACTGCTACAGGGTGGCAGGGCTGCGCAAAATCACACACATTTATATATTAGATACATATACAAACACACGATTTTGCATGTCCTGGTAGGGAGCGCCCGTGTCACCCTAACCGTGCCGCCACGGCGATCAGCAAATATCACTGCCGGGGAGAGACCTGTGTTTAAACACAGTAAAACAGCACATAGCACACAGTTAACCCTTTGATCGCCCCAGATGTTAACCCCTTCCTGCCCAGTAATCATTAGTACAGGGTCAGTGCTTTTTATTAGCACTGATCACTGTATTGGTGTCATTGGGATGTCAGTGGCAATTAATCAGCTCCCCCACCAGTGTCAGAATGCTTGCCACAGTCCCGCTATAAGCTGTTGATTGCCACCCATTACTAGTAGAAAAAAAAAATTCCAGTATATATACACAATTCAGGGGCAGACTGACCATTTGTTAACTCGGGCACTGCCCAAGGGCCCAGGGTATGTAGGGGGCCCCATGAGATGCCCCTGGTACCTTTTTCATAGGCTTTTTTGAGTTTGGGCAAGGACACAGGGGCTCCATGATCCCCTATTGCCTGGGGGCCCCATGAGTTGTCAGTCCGCTCCTGCCACCATTGTAGATGCTATAAATTTCATGTAAACAAATTCATTTGCATGTATTGGAATTTTTTTTTTTTTTTTTTTTTTTAGCAAAGACATGTAGCAGAATACATTTTGGCCTAAACTTATGAAGAAATTTGATTTTTTTTTTTTTTACTGGGCATGTTTAATAGCAAAAAGTCAAACAATTTTTTTTTCTTCAAAATTGTCAGTCTGTTTTTGTTTATAGTGCAAAAATAAAAAAAACGCACAGGTGATCAAATACCACTGAAAGAAAGCTCTATTTGTGTGAAAAAAGGGCAAATTTAATTTATGTACAGTGTTGCCTGACCGCACAGTTGTCAGTTAAAGTAACGCAGCTCCGTATCGCAAAAAATGGCCTGGTCAGGAACGGGGGTAATCCTTTGGATGGCAAGTGGTTAAGTGAACCTTAATTAATTAATTGTTTATATTTCAATCTGTTTATTAGAATATTAATGAAAAACAGAGTGTAGGGAGAACAAGTTTTACAGAGTATCATTCAAGTATAAAAAGCTACATTTACAATGCATGGAAAAAAAAATGATCAAATAATCATTGTAACACACAAGTGTGGCAACCAGTGGTCCCTCTGGCAAGACTCCTTAAGAAAAAAAAAAAAAAAGGAAGGTAACCGGCAACCTTCATCACTAGTCCAAACCTCCAATCCACCTTGTGCAAAAGTAGATGAAGGGGATATCATGGTACACATGCAAAATGTAGTGAAAACTCACTTATTGGTAACAGTAGCAAGGGGAAAAAGGGGAGGATCTAACAGAAAAAAAAAATATAAATACCTGAGAATACAACCGCAAAAGCGATCAGGTAAAGAAAATAAAGTACATCAAGCGTTAAAGGATGAAACCTGGAAATTAAAGTAAATGGTGAGAAAATAAAAGGAGAATAAAGAGATGACATAGAAGAGGAGCAACCAAGGGCCTGCTAGGGGACAGACAAACATTGAATCCATGGGTCTCACGTTTTATCAACTTTTGCTGTGTCACTATGAAGGATGCAGGTGAATTTGTTTTGAACCATGATCCAGTTCAATTTTCTTTTAACTTAGTCAAGTGGCACCACTGGTCACTTCCAGTATTCAGCAAACAGTGATCCTTGCTGCCAGAAGCATGGATAGGAGAAGTTTTGTAGATTTTTTTTTTTGGGGGGGGGGGGTAATTTCTGGAAAAGGGATGTCTCCAGGGATCTATAAATTTTTATTCCAGGTCACCAACTGAATAGAATTGAACATCCGATTACAAATTATTTTTTTAAAGGAGTGTAATGGACACATCTAAACAGCTAGAGCTCAAGCTACACGTGAGACAGCAAGACGCTGCTGCAGAGTGTTTTTCTTTTTTTTGGAAACCTCAGAATGCTCTGCAACTTCAGTGTACATAGTACTCTTTGTATTAAATGTTTATTACATAATAAAGATTTTATAAACACAAAATATAAACTAGTTTCTATGCGGTTTCAAAAATGAGTCTTTTAGGTGGCAGTCTTAATTTATGCCACAAATTATTCAGTCTGGTGAATTTTGTTTTGTTTTATTATGTCTTAGTAGCACTAGCCAATGTATTTAGGTGAAAGACAAGTAAAAGTCAGTTTTATCACAAAATAAGCATTCTTCCCTAAATCCAAACTCCAGGCAGAACTTTGGGCCTGGATAGAATGGGTAAGGGGCGTCTGCTATTTTCCGTTTTTTTTTCTTTTTCTGACTCTAAACGCCCCTGCCTGTTAGCCTGTGTCCATGCACACAGACAAAAAGGGGCATTTGGAGCAGGAAAAAAAAAACCCACTGCCTGCGTGTACAGGAGAAGCAGCATTTTGGCAGAAAAAAAAAAAATGCTTAAAAAGGCATGTAAACACGTCCAAACACTAAACAGGCTTAGCATGAATGTTGTGGTTAAGCGTTAAAGTGATTCTAAAGGCTCCAGATTTTTTACCTTCATGCATCCTATGCATGAAACAAAAAACCAAAAAAAAAACACACCCTTCTTTGTAGCAGTCCTGTAACACTTACCTGAGCACCCTCTTGATCCAGCGATGTTCATAAGAGCCTCGGTTCTCCAGGGACTCTCACCTGATTGGCTGAGGCAGCAGCGCGAGACATTGGCCCCTGCTGCTGTCAATCACAGTTAGTGAGTCAATCAGGAGAGGAGGTGGGGCCAAGCCACAGCTCTATGTATGAATGGACATGCAGAGCTGCGGCTTGGGAGCGTGCCTGCTTGGGTGCCCCATAGCAAGCCGATTGCTGTGAGGGCACCTGAAAGGAGGGAAGGGCCAGGAGCACCGACAGGGGACCTGAGAAGAGGAGGATCGGGGCTGCTCTGTGAAAATTACTGCACAGAGCAGGTAAGTATAGACATGTTTGTTATTTAAGACAACTTGTGTCACTTTATTCTCGCCATTGAAATGCATTCAATCATTCTGGCCAATGAAATGAAATAACGCCCAATCACTTGCAATGCATTTAAGGGTTACGTTTTTTTTTTTTCTGCCAAAAACACTGCTGTCAGGAGGAAACGAGAAATTACCAAAATGTCCAGTGTGCATGAGGCCTAAAAGTATGGCAGAGATGCTAACACCTGTCAATTGTCTAAATGCTTTGGCCGGAGTTAGGCTTTAAACAAAATGTATCCATACTTCTGGAAACACAAAAGCCTTTTTTGCAGTCATTTGAAAAACAGACCATGAAGTTGATTTACTACAGGCAGCACTTTTTTTCAGCAGGAACATGGGGGGAGGGTGGCGCAGTTCCGGCACCTCCAGCACAGAGTGTAAGTAATGGCAAGGGGTGCTGGAGGGTCTTTTGATGCTGGCTAGTTTGGAATCTATTGCAGTTGGAGGGGATCTCTTTTTTGGGTGAGGGTATATTGTTGCTGGTGGGGAATCTATAGTTCCTGGGGGTCAGTTGTTGCTGGGAGGGAGCTATTGTTGAGGGAGAGTTCTATTGATGCTGGGAGATCTGTTGTTGCTGCTGGGGGTCATCTGTTGCTGGAGTGGTATTTTGTTGAGGAGGGTCCATTGTTGCTGGTAGGATATCTATTGTTTCTGGGGAAGAGGGGTCTTATGTTACTGGGAGGGATCTACTGTTGAGGGAGAGGTCTATTGATGCTGGGAGATCAGTTGTTGCTGGGGTCCATTGTTGTGGGGGGGGGGGGGGGGGGGGTTAGTCTATTGTTGCGGTAGACGTCTTATTAAAAAAAAATTACTTAGCACCACAAAATTATACTTGGTCCAGGGTGGTACTGTTAGGTGGGTAGGGGGTGGAACCAAGGGACGCTGCTCAGAGGTGGGTAGGGGGTGGAACCAAGGGACGCTGCTCAGAGGTGGGTAGGGGGTGGAACCAAGGGACGCTGCTCAGAGGTGGGTAGGGTCAGAGACAAGAGGTGACTCAGAAAAGGGGAGTTCCTGCACCTGTTCTCTGAGGGGGGAAAAGAAGGCTGGACTAAAGAAGTAAAGGCCATTCAGTTTAATAACCTAGAATAGATGAGTGAAGTCAGTAGAGAGCTTCACCTTATTTTCTAAGCGAAGTGAAAATTTGTTTTGCAAAGTAAACAAACACTTAAATCCAAATTCTATTATTGCGAGTGCAAAATATCACGCTGAAATGTGAACATGCTCTGCTTCTTTAGTAAATCAATCCCATTGTATTCTATTCCATAGACCTGTGATGTTGTAAATGGAAGGAAAAACCTAGAAAAATGCTATTTTTAAATACGGATATGTGTTGGTAGAGAAAAGATCCCTGCAATATCAGACAAGGAGTAATAAAGATTAACAAGGAATTCACATGTACACAAAGTGAAAACATCCATGGTGAGGGCCAGTATACAGCCAACATACTGGCATCCTAGTGATAATGCAGTACGAGCATGTTTCCACTTTGTGATGAGCTTGTGCATTGTTACTGCTGCTAGCTAAAATGCATATTATTCCAGTGCAATTTGTCAGGAATGCCTATTTTAAGAAAAGAGCTGCAGAAAAAAAACAAAACAAAAACCACACATTAGCGAAGGAAGGGCAGGATTTTCTCATTGAACCATTCCACGGAAAACTGGAGGTGGTCACCATCTGCAGCCAAGAACACTAGCTTTCCAGCTTTATCCATCTCTCTCAAACCCAAGCGATCCTACAAATATACAAACAATTTATATTATTATTAAGGGGAAAAAACAGTGATAAGGCCTTGTTTACACAGTTTCATATTGTATAAGGGACGTAGGTAGAGCAAGCTTTGCTGAAGCCTTTAAAACACCATTCAGCTCCTTGTAAAACACAGATCTGATTGCAAGTACTACCAGGACTCAGCACTACTTGAGGCTTATTAAAATCCTGCTAGCAGCTTGTTCAACTTTTTTGCTGCTAGGTCAATTTTTTTCCCCATTTTGAAGACAAAAAAAAAAAAGAAGTGTACATGAAAACACACTTTAAAAAACACAAAATCATTATACATTTTCTGAAAGCAAAGACCCTGTAGAATATATAGGATAGCAATTTCTTATGTTACATAATATTTGTGCTAGTGTTTAATAAATGGAATTTTTTTTGTACTCAAAAATCTTTCTCTGCATTCACTGAACGACACAGCCAAGTACTTTACATCTTGACTTTAGGGTTATAGCACCACCCCCAGGAGAAAAATACTAGGCATAAAAATAAAAAGGGATAATTGGTTAATCATACACCTGACTTTAATCCTACAAAAGCCCTGACTTTGTGCAAGTGTACAAGTTTAAGAACTGATGCTGGTTTGAAGCAAAGAGGCAATCACACCAAATATTGCTTGCTTTAGATGGTTTGGGGGTTTCAAGTAATTTTCTAGCAAAAACATGCTGATTTTTACATGTATGTACGAAATGTCAGAACTGATCTGGGCAGCAGGTGGCTAATGAAAGCAGAGAAATTGATTTTACAGCAAGTGCAAAAAAAAAAAAAAAAAAAAAAAAAAAAAAAAAAAAAAAATACACTTTTCACTTTTGTTTACTGAAGGATACAGCTTTGTACTTTAAATCTGACCACAGAGACATCCTAAAGCAGTGACCATTGAGGGGTGAAAAAAACAGAAAAAAAAAAAACACCAAAATTCCTAGAAAATAAACTATCACCAGTAAAATCTTGCAGCCAAAACATGTATCTGAAAAAGTAGCAACATCAGCTTTGCAAAACTTAGTAAAGATGTAGATAGATGAATAATTGCTTTATAGGTTTAAGATATCGGTGAAGCACACTGACATCCAGCACCACTACGCCCACTCATCCCGGATGCCAGGATGGTGGTAGGAGTGCGGATCCAAAAAAAAAAAAAAAACCCACACGCAAACCACACAACACAAAAATAATCCATTTTACGAAATTTTACTGAGTCCATGGCTGACCGGTAAACCCACACAGCCTGAACAACAGCAACAAGGTATGTAGTGAAATCTCCTGAAAATGTATAAGTAATTCACAAAAAGCAGGCAGGCCAATGTCCTAATTAAACCAGTATTAAACCCAAAAGGAAACAATATATTGCAGTTTACCAATTCTTAGATGTGATGGCTGCATTCATTTTTTTTTTAGGCTCTCTTTTTTTGTATCTTCATCTAGTGATCCAGCCAGCAAGTACATTTTTCAAAAGCAGAAGCTCTCCAGCAGAATATATCAGTTTACATGGATGAGGCAAACCATTTAACACTGGCAGGCATGCTTAAAAAATAAAAAATTTTATTTATTCATGTGAAACCTTTATCTCAAAAAAAAAAAAAAAAAAAAAAAAAAAAAACATTTGCTGTAACTGATAAAGAAGTGCGATTTGGAGTTTTGGCTTCAATTTGGTAGCGTATAAAAATCTGCTAATACATTTAACACCACCCTACACTCTCCCACCCCCAGACTGACAATGCCACTGTCAGCTGTGCTCATTCATCCAGAGTGGTGTTTCTCTAATACAGGAGTTGAGTTACTGGCCAGATCACTGGGTGAAAACGGAAAAAAAAGCCCAAGAAAAGAAAACTGATGCAGCTACCACATCTAATGATTGGTAAGCTGCAATATAATAAACTTTTGGGTTTAATACCACTTTAAAGGTGAAAGACATACACCACATTTGAAAGAAAAGAGATGCGAGTAGAGAACCACCTTATCCCTGTGCAAGACCAAAAACAGGAACTTCCAGGATAAGTCCGTCAGCTCTGAAAGTGCAGATGTAATGGTAACCAGGATGGCAAAAGTCTGAGAAAGAGTCTGCAAGGAGAGTTTACAAATGTTCTCAAAAGGGAGGTTTCTATAGACCAGAGAGTATCAAATTTAGGTCCTATCGTGACAGTGGAGGCCTTACTGGAGGAGCCACATATATGAAACCTTGGATAAAATTACACAACAAATACTGTACATAGCCATGGAGTTGTTGAAAAAAATTAATACATTTAAAAAAGTACCTGGCCCTAATGCTACGGATATCAAATTTACAATCAAACAAAAGGCCAAAATCCATCCCACAGAAAAGGAATGCGGATGAAATTGCCTAGACTTGCACCACAGGATGTAGGCTTTCCAGGTACTTCCGAGATTTAGACTTCAGCATGGTAAGAACTGCCAGTTCAGGCAGCCTCCTGTCCTTCAGCACCTGGCTTTCAATAGAGAAGCAACTCTAGAAACAGGATGGATGATTGGACGCCAAACAGCAAGCCTGGTCATAGCGAAGACACCAGCAAGTGTCCATGACCAGTCACACAACATTGACATTGGCATACTAGCCTTGGATGAAATTTCAGCATAGATGAGATTGTAACATCTTGGGCATCCATCGAATCAGCCCACGGTTCCTCATTCCACTTGAACTTCCTGTTGTGCAAGATGCCAGAAGGGCCACGTCCAGAGTATGTCACCTCTGACAGATGACCTCCGGATGTAAGGACCACTTACCTTGGTCTAAACTTTGATTACTTTGGCAGTCTGCTTGCCAGGTTTCCACTGCTGGAATATAGATCTGGAGAGTGACGAAATGTGAGGTTTCAATTACCAAAGAAACTTGTGACTTTCAGCACTGCTGCAGGACTTCTTGTTCCTCCTTAGTAATTGACATAGGCCAACACCATGGTATTGTCTGACTGGATCCTCACAGGAGTTCGTTGCATTGTTGCATTGATAGGCAACAGATTCCTCCTGCATCCACCGACCCAAAATCAAAAGCTGAGCCTTGGATGGAGTCTGGTTAGCTGACAAGCAAGTAAACCAGAGAATGCAATGCTGAATAACTGCAGACACCGAGTCCAGGGCCGCATCCACCAACCTATCTTACAAGTACTTTAGGACCTGGACAAGCTGTGGGTCCACTAGAGCCATGTAAAGAGCCTTGATGAAACAGTTTTGCCCATTCTGCAAGCATTACAGACGCCAGTGCCAGTAGACATGGAAGGTGCAATAGATTAAGCTTTCCTGTCAGCCAGGTCCCTGAAAGAAGGAGATTCCTTGACCGGGATCACCATAATCTTAACAAGCCTAGACAAAGCCAGGTCTGTGACTGAAAACAGATCCACTTTCTAACACAGGTCTGTGACTGGAAAGAGGTCCACTTTCTAAGGAAAGCCTCCTCAAAAGGAATAATGAGCCAAGAACCATTTGGACACCAAGAAGGGCCATTTTAGGGTTCTACCAATTTTTTAAATATCTAAATATATAAAAGTAGGGAGGGAAAGGAAAGAGGATACTGAAAAGGACAGCAAAAATGTCTGGAGGTACCTTAGGGTCTCAATCTTTAATGTCTACTGCACAGACATTATCAAGGCAGCCACCAGCCCTTTCTTCTGCGCTGGAGTTGAGGAGAAAGCCTTGTCCTCAGTACCAGAGGGGAAATGATCCAAATCCTTATATTTCACAGGCAGAACTGGCCCACAACAAACTCCTCATCCATATCAGATAAATCCTAGAGGAGGGTGCTTTTTAACCGCTCTACGTGTGAGTACCAATTTCATGCGTGACAGGAAACCTTCCAGGACCATGCAGACAGCATCCATGTGAATGGATTGCCCAGAAAGGTCAGCCGCCTCCAAGGGAGTGTCTGTAAGCAAGGGGCCTCAAATACAAAACAAGAGGCACTGGATCATCATAGCACATCTCTTGATAGGACACAGCTTAGTTTTTCCCACAAAAGAAGATTAGCCGCCAGAGATCCAAGGATCGACCCCGCACCAGAGGAGAGTACGGTCCTAGACCCTTGCAGCAGCTCCAGTAAAATTGTAGTAGGCTGACCATATGCAGAGTAGCATGTTCCCAGATGACACTGTCCCAACTCAACAAACACAGCAGAGTGCTGGGAAGTGGCATCATCAGCCAGCGCTAGGCCTCTAACAAAGATGGCCACTGGAGTGGTGGCAGCAGCAGCAGCTGGGAGACATATGGCCATACCAGCATTACAAAAATACTACATGATTCCCAGCCAGCTCCAAAAGACCACCTGCATAACCCTATTAAAAAAAACAAAAAAAAAACCAAGACTCTAGGGGAAGAAGGTAACCGGAGGTGGGACTAACCAGACTATACAGTATAGGGGGTAGAGACAAAGTCAGAAATGCTTAAAAATTTTAAGTGAACCATAAATGACAGCCCTATAAAAGATGGCTCTTGCTCCAGTATGCATAGAAACACCCAATATGTGTAGCTCAACTATCATTTTTCACATGTGCACATTTAATGAGCATGTTTGGGTTTGTATGTACTTGAATGTGGGTGCAGAGGCCTTTTTTTTTTTTTTTTCTTCTTTAACCATTTTTTTTTTTACCCTCTAAAGGAATTCCATGGTTACAGCACAGATTTTCATTTTAAAACATCACCATTGTAATAGCAATACAAAATGTCATTTTTAACAATCCAATATAAGCTTATTAAAAAAAAAAATCTCCTTTCATGTTGTGAGTTCTGCCTGTCATCTCTTTCCACAACTTCCTGGATTCCCTGCATGCTTTGTAGCTTCTTTTCTGCAGTTTACTTTCAATTTCTAAGGACTACATATCATAGCTGGTTGCAAGCTGTGATATCTGTCCTGACTCTCCCTCCTCTCTGCAACTCTCTAGTTCAGAAGGCAGGCTATGACTCAGGAGTGCTTATCCATAGGGTATAGATACAATTTAAAGCATTTGTGAACACAGCACATAAACAGTACGAAGACAAGAAATATTATTTAAGAATACTTTGTAGAGGTGTGGCCAACTATAGTGACTATGGGAGGTGTAGCTGGCAAGGGCGCTCAAATAAATCTTCATGGTGTTGATTGACAGCAAGGCTTCTGCTGGGAGCCGCTATCAATCAACACACTAGGACTTTGTAGGGGTGTGGCCAACTATAGTGACTATGGGAGACGTAGTTGGCAAGGGCAGTCCCCCCCAATCTCCCCTCTTGCCCAGCTTCTACTGTGCTGAGTGACAGCAAATCACCTTCTGGGAGTCAGCACACCGGTAGGTGTAGTAGGGGATACCGTCTACAGGAGATACAGGCATGTTGAGCGTGGGCATGGTATTCTGTATTTCATAGAAAGAAGCCCAGCCACACAAACTGACCAAGCTAGCACAGATCTGCATAGTGCAGTTGACAGGTTCTCAAAGTAACACTAAACAATATCCTTATACTCCAAACATAACTCATACACATCTACTCAATGGCCCTGTAATCTTTTTTTCTCATGTTTTCTTTTTTATTCTAATTGTAATGTCCTCGGTGAGCTCCTGAACCTCTCCTTTTTCTCCTCTCACTTCCATTTGTTTGAAATAAGGAGAGTGGAGGTTTGGAGGAGGCGGAGAGTAACAAGAGATACTTTTTTGAACATATACTTCAATAAAATTAGAAGCCCAATGTCAACTTTGCTGAAGTTGATTTAATAAGGTTCTTTCCTGACCAGAAAGTCATTTATTCTTTAAAGTGGAACTTCACCCCCACTGCCACATTTGGCACTTTTTTTTGACATGTATCCACTCCCTCTTCCGGTCTGATGTGCCACGGCGATCTGAGTGGGAAGTTTGGATGTGCAGTATGAAGCCGGCTGTTAAGCCGCAAGGCTTCACTTCCGGTTTCCCTTACTGAAGATGCTGGCTTGGGTGAGAACATGGCTGGGTCCCTGGATAGGCAAGTGTACTTATGTTAGCTACAGAATTTGTAGCTACTGACTTTGTGGGGGGGAAGCCTAGAGCTCTGCTTTAAAGGCGTCAGCAAAGTTGCTCAATGCTTGCTAAAACTGTTGAAAAATGTGCTTATACAAGTTGCTCCCATACAGCCTGAAGCACATGTGAACAAGGACTTACAGTTAAGCTGTTCATACAACTTGCAATTTTGATTGACTGAACAATCTTCTTTGGATCCACCAACAACTATGCAGTATAAGAGCTTGACTGATTGGATAAAAATGTAATGGATTCTTCAAGAAGGGCTACCGCTACTTCATTTTTGCAAAGATTATAATGAGATTGTACAATCGGAGCATAATGAGTATGCCAGCAGCTTCCCAAGACACTTGTAATTTAGTAAATGCTTTGTCTGGATTTTGCAAAAAACAATATTACCCAGCACTGAACATTGCATAATAAAAACTGTTCCTTACTACAAACACTGGATAAATAAAATAACTGGCCTTAAGCAATACTGGGAATCTATCCAGGAATTACAGTGCAAAGTCATTTGGCAAAGGAACAATTAATAGAGTGCAACCCAACTCTTCGCTAATTGGTTAGTGAGGTCTTGGTAAGAAAAAAAGAAAGACAGAAATAGCTACTGTTCAGAAGGCAGAGGAAACCTCATATTTCCTCAACACGATCACATTTTAAAGGTCCACGCATGTTTCAAAGTATCCAAACCCCAAGTGCAAGTTGCTTTATAGATTGCATTGTTCTAGTGAATCCAGCAAAAGCCATGAGCAACAAGCAAATTCTGAAAAAAAACACCTTAAAGCCTGGTTCAAATCTATGCATGTTGCAATCTGCTGCGGGGAAAAAAAAAAAGCCCCTGACGCTCTCCCAAAATGCAGCCCTGAAAACACAGATGTGAACATGTCCCATAGGAAACCATGTTAAATGGACTGTAGTGAGTTTCTGCAAAATGCACAAAAAAACACAAAAAACAAAACACATGCATAGGTGTGAACCAAGCCTACAGCTCAATGCACACACGCGCACGCACGCGCACGCACGCACGCACACAAAAAAACAAACGAAAAAAGGTTGCTCCTAGAGGTAACATTTTGCCTGTAGAATCAATTAATGTTATCCTATGTGTTCATGCACGTAAACCCCTAGACACAGAGCGCACATAAATTAGCAGTTTCACAGCACTGGGCTTTTTTCCACGTGGCCGCTAATTTGCGTATCTGTCTCTCTAGTAGAAGCGCGCCAAACTCCCGATTCCGGGTCACCTTTGATTGGCTATCACAGCGATCAGGGACTGTGAAGCTCCTCTGAATGGAGGAGAGGGATACATTGCATCTCTCTCTGTCCTTTCAGAGGAAAAAAAAAAAAAAAAAGAAAGAAAAAAAAAAGGAAATTGTGCACTATTGTTTCTGGGCTGTACTACGGGTACAAACAACAGCGAACATACACACATGTGGTTATCTCTGCGATCATCAGGAGCAGAAAAAATTATTTTGGATTTTTCCTTGGTGGTAGGTTATAATAGTGGCAAGAAATTTAAAAGAATCTTTTTTTTCGCCCCCACAATTGTGGGCCTGTTTTCCATTGGTAAAAAAAAAAAAAAAAAAAAAAAAAAAAAAAAAACACACACACACACGAGATATCCATTACCATTTACCACCAAATGAAAGCCCAATTTGTTCTGAAAAACAAAACAACAAACAAACACACACCCACGGTATAGTCCACTTGGATACACAAAGTAGTTGTGAGGATATGTTAGGTTTTGCTAACACATGTTAAAGTTGCAAAATTGTGCTTAGACTAAGATTTGTTTTACCCTTAGACACAAAGGAGTTAAGTAGGCTGGAGGTGGTTCTTAAGCCCAGCGTTTAGGGCCAGAAAAAAAAAAAAACCCTTCTGTTTTGTTTTTTGAGTGTTTTTCTGGCAGGAAAAAAAAAAAAAGGCCTTAAAGGGGCAGACCACTTGCAGGACTTGATTCAGCTTCATCCCTACAGGCTTGCGATAAACACTTAACACACTTAAAACAAAACCCACCTGCCTTGCAGCACATGCCAACAAACTAACGCACTAACCTGCATTGTGGCGCACTCTGGTGGGAAAAACATTGCAGGTGCATTTCCTAATCTACTGTGGTGGGCTGGCAGTCAAGTTAAATAGTCTGCCTTAGCGCAACATACATTAAACACACTGTACCTGATTGCACAGATGTAAATGTGCCCTAATAAAAACTGTGGATAAACCCAATAATATGAGGAGACCGTCAACATGAAGCAAAATGTTAGGAAGAAAAAAAAAAAAAGTTCATAAAATCACTGTGCTGTTTTACCTCAGAATACAATGAACTTTCTTGCAATGTGATGGTCTCTTTGTCTTGCCCAGGTTTGTAGAATCCAAACCACTAGAGAAATGAATGTTAAAAACAAAAAAAGAAAGAAAGAAATAAGCAGCAACATGAATGGCTGTTTTAACCGAATAGCTCTCTGATAGATAAAACATGGCAATATTGGGAATACATTAACAAAGATAAAAGAGATAGATCTTTCTAACCTCTGAATCAGAAGGATCCACCATGGAATCTTTGAGGAATTTCACCATGACAAACTTATTCAGAGCTTGAAGATTGCGCTTGTAACTTTCATTTACACCCTAAAACAAACATGGTAAAACTCATGAGGCAATAACAACCATCAGTTAGAAAAATAGAAGTAACCTAAACAAAAAAAAAAAAAGTTTATAGTTTCATTAAATGGGGACGGTTACATAATTAAATCCTTGTTGCAATGCAAGGGGTTCTTGGAGTATATTGCCCTGTGGAGTGATCATACTTGACTGAACTTGCCAAATTGGGCACTTTTGGAACAATGGAAGTTAAGGGGCATCACACTTGTCTGTCAGATGTTTGTGAACGATGTACTGAAATCATTCCAACAGCTGCAAAATTAATTTCACCTCCCGCATAACTGCTTCTACCAGTATTTCCAGTTCATGCCAAACCCCCCCTTACCCAATAAAGGCCATCAGTCCATAACACAATACTTAAAAGAGGTTCTAAAGTCTGAAGGTTTTTTACTTTTATGTATCATATTCATAAGGTGAGGGTTTACAATCTCTAACCCCCAAAAAAGTATACCTAAAGCCAAAAAGGATTTCTGTACTCACAGTAAAATCCTTTTTCTTGCAGTCCACTGAGGGATACAGACAGTCTCTCACTTTTGGGTTATACTACTGTCTATGGGAGGACTGAACACTGGTAAACAATACAACTGTGTGCCAGCCCAGGGTAACCCCTCCTGCTACCAGTATATGCCTCGGTTTTGTAGCAAAGCAGCATGATGATTAGCACAGTGTGACCTGTGTCCCTCAACAGGCTCCAACAAAAGTATTTTATGGTACAAAAATCTTATTTTCTTTCTTGTCCACTGTGGGAAACAGGCAGTCTAACCTTTGGTACACCCAAAAGCAGTTCAAACTGAAGGTGTGGAGAATACAGCAAACAAACTCCAACAGGCCCAAGAAAACAATCGAGAACTAGGAACTGCATGCAGATCAAACAGCCACCTGAAAGAACTGATGCCCAAAAATGGCATAGAGTGAGGCTGCAACGCCATCCTGATAGAACTTAGAGCAGCCTTTTTCTATCAGGGTGCCTTCTGGGTTCTTCAGGGGTGCCCTGGCAAATTGCCTAAAAATAGCCAAAACTGCAAAAAAAAAAAAACAAAAAAACCACAAAACTACTTTCTACAAGCCAGCGGGTGTGTCATACAAATCCAAAAGTGTGTGTACAAGCCTGCCTTTTAAATATATAAACCCACAGGTTTTCATCGTACAACATTACAACCTTGGGCTCCCTGCAGGCCATCCGCCAGCATCCTAACAACCACCGACATCATCGGTTGATAAGGAGGACATTTTGCACCTGCACAGCATCCTTATTTGAACCCCTCTTTGTCAGCACTGGGGTCACATTAGTTGCTTGGGGGAAGAGAAAATGAGTGTGCAAAAGTGTATTGGTTTTAAAAAAATGAATCACCTCTAATGTTTTGTTTTATTTGTGCCTCGAGATTATGTACAATTTTAAAGGATGCAGTTGCACAAAAAAAAAAAAAAAAAAGGGTTGAGAAAGTCTGATTTGGAGAACAAGTGAACAGCTGGGAAACAAACAGCTGTTTATTGGCAAAAGGTCCAAGAAGCTCTTACAGATCTAGCAGTGTGCTCCTTGATAAGAAAGGGTAGGACCCAATCAGGAGTGTGCAGGATGGTCTGCCTGAGCCATCCAGTGATGAAGGAATAAGATGCCATAAACTTTCCAAGGTCTATACAGGCTGACAAAAATAAGGGATCAGACTTTCTGGAAAGGAATAAAAAAAAAAAAAAAAAAAAAAACCCCACCCTAGTGGTGAATAAATACCACCAAAAGAAAGCTCTATTTGTGTGAAAAAGACACATGACAGCGCTGAAAGCTGAAAATTGGCCTGGGCAGAAATGGGATTAAAGTGCCCCGTACTGAAGTAGTTAAAGCAAAGTGCTGAATAACGAAAAAATGCCCTGGTCATGAAAGGGGTAAAATCTTCCAGAGCTTAAAATATAAAAACAAATCAATTTACACTATAGAACAGTATGTTTGAGTATGCAGCCTTTTAACTTACCCGTTCCTGATTGATATCTGCCAGGAAAATGCTGCCGTTTCTGTATTCCTCTTCATTAAGTGGATCGTGCCAATACTCTGCTTGTACCAAACTAATAAAAGAAAAACAGAATCCCAGGCACAAAATGAATTCTACTTTTAAAAACCCTCACAGCTCACATTAAAACTTATAGGATGGCGGTTATTTATTGCATCATCATACATTTGCTTATACTCACTATTCCTGAATGGCCCTGGTATAAGCACCAACATTCAAAACCTTTCTGATCCAGTCACACAAATGTGAGCTTTCTCCAGGACACCGAGGGAAGCCAAAAACCCCTAAATATAAAATCAAACATGGATCAATAAAACATCAAATTTGATGTCCTCTAGGAAACTTGTCCCTTCTTCCGAGCAATACAACTGCAATAACTTTATCCTTTATGTTTAAACAGACCTGCAGTGTCTGCAATCAGGATTGTAACATCACAAATTTAATTACAGTGAAAAATATTTCTTCACAGCAGTATTCACCGATTATAGCGGTTTCTTTTGTAATTGTGCCTATTGCTCTGTGAAAATTCAATAGAAATGATTCAACCAGGAAAATCCTAACCCAACTGTCAGTCCAGAGTTTAAATGCTACTGCAGCAGGAAGATTCCTTGGCCGCTATACAAGGCAACATCCTAATCAATATGGCAAGTGAATGGACCTGGGAGCTCTGTTCTCACCAACAGAATTTCCTAAAGGTATAACCACTTAGTGGGAATTTCTGCCCACAAAAAATATATCTGAAAGGATTTATCAATTAAGGGTTCTCAACTGACCATTTACTTGTATAATTAAGGCTACTTTCTTGCCTCATTAAATCCTGACATTATAGAATTTCTTCCTACAACAAAAGGGATTTTCAGGGATTATATTATATTTTGTAAACAATCACTAACAATGATTTTTAATGTGGTAGTGCAGAGTCAAATCACAATGTGCACAGTGCCTTAACACATAGCTACCAATTAGATGTTGATTTATTGTAAGGACACTTATGAAATGAACCCAGATTGGCTGGGGTAGGTGAAAAATATACTTCACACTGCCTAATTTAATAAATACAAATTTAATAGATATATGTATTAAGGGCTTTAATAAAGATGTTAAGATTTTTGGTGTACCTATAAAATAAATTTTCTTTAAGTACATCACAGAACACTTTTCATGACTACTAGGTTATGCTGCTACCTTCAGGACACAGACCAAAAAAAAAGTTAAGATTCCCTGCCCAGACATCACCCCTGCAGCTTAGTCAAGCCTCCGATTTCTTGCAACAAGCAATGAGGATCACAAACAAAAGAAGGGTGGAATTCCAGTGTCCTGTGGTGTACTCAAAGAAAAGGATTTTACAGATAAACAACAAATCCTAGTTTCTTAATTTTACATAACAGGACACTTCATATTCATGAATATTTACAATGTCCCAAACCAATGAACAAGAAGGGTGGGCAACAAAGCAACAAGATCAACATAAACATAATGGGGAAACCCCACTACAAAGCTGCCTACAAGATCTCTTGTCCAAAATTTGCATCCCTATAGATGTGAACATCTACCTGGTAAAGTACAACCCCAATTCAAGATTTACAGTGTGAAAATCTGCATAAAAACAAAAAGGCACTTATTTGCAAATCTCATGAAACCAGATTTTATTCACAACACAAAATGGAAATCATATCAAATGTTTAAAACTGTGAAAATGTACCATTTAAAAGTAAAAATAAGGACATTTTGAAACCGAGAGCAACACATCTCAAAAAAAAAAAGTTGGGACAGGGCAACAAAAAGCCGGCAAACTAAGTGGTACTAACAATGAAGAGCTGGAAGAACAGTTTGCAATTAATTCGGTTCATTTACATACATGACTGGGTATTAAAAAAATGGCATCTTAGTGAGTCAGAGGGTTTTATTTACTAAAGCTGGTGAGTGGAAAATCAGGCTCACTTCTGCATATACACCAATCAGCTTCCAGGCTTTGTCAAAATTTAATTGAACAAGCTGAGGTTAGAAGTGGATTGGCTTAGATGCAGAAGTGAGCATGATATGGCACTCTCCAGCTTTAGTAAACAAACCCTGGTGTCTCAATAATAAAAATATCTGTGTACAAGGCTGAAACGCAATATTGGATGATCGGGAGTAAACATAAAAAACTAAAATCATGTGGTTGCATAAGTGTGCACACCCTCTTGTAACTGGGGATGTAGCGGTTTTCAGAATTAAGCAATCACATTCAAAATCATGTTAAATAGGAGTCAGTACACACCGGGCATTATTTAAAGTGCCTCTGATTAACCCCAAATAAAGTTCAGCTGTGCTGGTAGATCTTTCCTGACATTTTCTTCATACAGCAAAAGCCATGGTCCGCAGAGAGCTTCCAAAGCATCAGAGGGATCTCATTGTTAGAACCTTCAGGCTTCTGTTGGAAAGCTGAACATGAAGAGGAATATCATCTTTCAGCATGACAACGACCCACAACATACATCCAAATCAACAAAGGAATGTCTTCACCAGAAGAAGATTAACGTTTTGTAATGGCCCAGCCAGAGCCCAGACCTGAATCTGATCGATAATCTGTGGGGTGATCTGTAGAGGCTGTGCACAGGAGATGCCTTCACAATCTGACAGATTTGGAGTGTTTCTGCAAGGAAGAGTGGGCAAATATTGCCAAGTCAAGATGTGCCATGCTGATAAACTAATACTTTGTTGAAGCATCTTTTGATGTTATTACAGAACTCAATCTTTTTGGGTATGAGTCTAAGGGTGTGCACACTTATGCAACCATATTATTTTAGTTTTTTTATTTTTACTTCCCTCCACCTAAAAGATTTCAGATTGTTGTTCAACTGAGTTGTACAGTTTATAGGTTACATTAAAAGGTGGAAATAGTTTTGAAATGATTTATCTTTGTCTCATTTTTTTACATCACAGAAACCTGACATTTTAACAGGGGTGTGAAAACCTGGATATAAAAAGGTTTAAAGAGCAGCATACAGTATGCTCAGGAAAGACTGTCACACCATTCTTCTCCCAAAACTCCAGCAGCTGGTCTCCTTAGTTCCCAGATGATTACAGAGTGTTGTTAACAGTAGAGGGAATGCTTCAACGAAGTAAACATTGCCCTGTCCCAACTTTTTTGGAATTGGGGGTTGTACTTTGCCAGCTTTTTGTTGCCCTGTCCCAACTTTTTGGAGATGTGTTGCGGACATAAATTTTAAAATTACCTTTTTTTTTCTTCCCCTTACAGTTGTACACTCTCAGTTTAAACATTTGATATGTGTTCTAATTTCTATTGTGAATAAAATATGGATCTATGACATTTGGAAATCATAGCATTCTGATTTTATGTAGATTTTACACAGCGTCCCAACTTTTTGGAATTGGGGTTGTTTATAAGCCTGTGGAACTTGAAGTGAAGACCAGTTAGCAGCCTTACAATCTTGAACAAAAGAAGCTTGAGCTAAAATCACCCAGAAAGCACAGACACAACTGGTGGAATGAGCCTTTACTGGGAAAGGAAGAACCTTGATACCACAGACCTGAGAAATGAGCTGACTAACCCATCAAGAATTAGTGAATCAAGAAACAGGAGGGCCCTCGGGTAAACCAAATAGGGACTCGCTGTCAAACTAAAGCTGTAGAAGTCAGATACATTTGAACAACATCCCAAGAGTGAATACTTTATCCTTAGGATTAGGACAAAAGAATGGCAACACAATGTCCTGATTCAGGCAGAACCAGGAAACTGCCTGGAGGTACAAAAAAAAAAAAAAAAAAAGGCTGAGGTCTCAACACTATCCTTAACCTGATGGACAGCAAAGAAAGGTCCCTTGCAGGAGATTGTAGCCAACTCTGTTGCCCTCTGAGCCAATAATGGCAACCAAAAAGACAACATTGCGGGTAAAGAACAACAGGGGGAATCTCCTGGAGAGGTTCAAAATAAGGTCTGCAAAACAGACAACACCAAATTAAGGTCCCCGAGGAAAAAGTACGCTGCACAGGCGGAACAATCCATGTGACATCCTGCACATAGGATTTTGCATGTCTCATTCCTTGGTAAAATCCTAAGGATGCACAGGAAAAAGATTTGGGATTTTTTAGGTATGCCAAGACCCAAATCCAGCGACTTTGGAAGAAGATGACTCCGGAAGTGCCAACTTCAAATTGAGTCATCTGAGACAACCCAGGACCTTGAGACTCCTGGAAGGAATTCAACATCTTATGTCCTTATCCACCCACAAAAAAAAAAAAAAAAAAACCAAGTTACACTTACGGTAACGTCTTTTCCAGGAGTCTTTCAGGCCAGCACTCTGAGAGACCTTGGCTCCTCCCCATCTGAGGAAACACCTCCACCTACAATAAAAAAGCTCCACTCCCCTCTGACCTCAGTTCTCCAAGCATCCTCCGGTCATCTGGGGAGACACAATGCGAGACAACATAATCATAATAAGCCATCTTCACATAACCAATATCAACAGTGGGTGGGAAACCGGTGCTGGCCTGAAGACTCCTGGAAAAGACGTTACCGTAAGTGTAACTTGGTTTTTCCCTACCGTCTTTCAGGCCAGCACTCTGAGAGGATAAGCGAGTACTCACCCTTCGGGCGGGCTAACTGCTTGTAAGACCTTACGACCAAAGTCCTGCTCCTGCACCGAGACCAGGTCCAGTCTGTAATGCTTGGCAAATGTGTCATAGCTGGACCATGTTGCCGCTCTGCAAATCTGCCCTGGGGAAACCCCTGCTAACTCTGCCTGGGTAGCCGCCACAGCTCGGGTGGAATGTGCCTTGATACCCTCCGGGACCTCCAGGCCTTCTGCCTGATATGCTCCTGTAATCGCCAGCCGCAGCCAGCTGGCCAGCGTCCTTCTAGACGCCTTCTTGCCTCTTCTAGCCCCCTTAAAAAAAACAAAAAGGGATTCGGTGCTTCTGAACTCCCTAGATTTCTCTAGATACTGGAGAACGCACCTTCTGACATCTAAACAATGATACCTCTCCTGATCTACCCCCACCGGGTCAGGAAAAAATGAGGGAAGGACAATGTCCTGTTCCCTCTGGAAACTCCGAGCTACCTTCGGAATGAAGGACGGGTCTGGTCTGAAAACGATCCTGTCTGAAAAAATACGGAGATAGGGTGTTCTGATCGAGAGGGGCCTCCATCTCACACACCTCCTCGCCGTGGTAATCGCCACCAGAAAAGCAGTCTTAATGGTGAGCTCACCTATCGGACAGGACTCCAAGGGCTCGAACGGAGCCCTAGTCATCCCCCCCGAGCACCTTGGCCAAATCCCAC